CTCCTAGTGTGCTGCTAGCGCATCAACCCACTAACCTCAAGCGAGCCGACATGTGGCCATAGAAAACCTGCACATAGTAAGTTCTAAATGAAACAAATACACCATATGAGAATAAGTTTTGCACTATTCATAAAACTTTTGAATTTTATAAATTACAATTAACCAAATTTAAAATATAAATAAAAGATCTATTCAATAAATTTTCATGAAATATATATATATATCTAACTAAAACATTCACATCCGTCTTATAACTTAATATATATGAACAGGTATGTGTATAATCCGTTTCTTTAATACAGATTTAAAAGGAAATACAAATAATATCGACAATGTGTATAAACTATATTCAAACACGTTACTTTAAATTTGTGAGAATGACAGATAACAAAAGGAAGGTACTTGTTAGAAAAAAGATCATCTGTGGTGAGGTTAGATTAGATAGAACTGTAATGATTGAATTCTTTGCTGCACCTCTAACTTTTCTACGTCCCAAGCCTGCGACCCAATACATAACTTAGGTATGGACGAAAGCGAGTTGGTCTCGCACTACGACGATTTTTAGGAGTAGGTTCAAGTTCTATCTACGCAAAGAAATCAATTCATTAGCTTGATTCCGAACTGTCAAAGATATTCTATGAGAACTCGGACATTTTCAACAATGATAATCATGACAGCTAGTTTTGAACAAATACCTTTTAAGGGTAGCTCTACACTTTGGCATCACCAAAGTTAACAATTTGATTAACAAATCACCATTAATAGAATTCCACAAAGTACCTACATTCTTAACCACTTTCATGGTAGATCGTAAACACGAGTAAGACTAACATGTAAGGCCGTAATAAATGAAATAATCAACAAAGCTCATCAAATTATGAATAACTGTTTGATTTTATTTCTATTAATGTAATGCAAGGTAAGGTTGGTAAGGTTTAGATATTGGAATATAATGCTGAGACAAATTGGCAATCATAAAATAAATCGAACGTTGTCGAATCAAAAAATAAGTTGTAAATTATTCATACTATATTATATTTATTTTTTATTGCTATTAAACAGTGACAAATATCCTCCGTGAACTTTAATATCCGTATGTATGAGAGTATTGTAAAATGTCTATTAAAAACTTTTACGAAAAGTTAAAATTAGTTATTTATGCAACTGTTGTATAATGAGGAATAATGTAATTAAAAAAAACGGCTTTATATTAAAAAAATGTGAATATCTGATGAGTAAGCACTTTTTGTGGAAAGGATTAAAAAAGCGCAGGAGTGCTATTATGAAACTTAGTACAACATTATATCATTCGCTTGGATGATATTATCGTTATCCTAATAACATTGGATGTTTTAATTTTGGCAGCAAGCTAACTGTTTCAGAATCTTTCAAAGAGTTTTTAAGCATGGTTGTATAATAATCAAAACAATATCTCAATCAATCAAATACTTACTTATAATCATCAGATCTTATTTAAAATAATTAAGAGCAATTTATCTGTGAAAATTAATGCACCACTCTTAAACGATTTTTAAATTACGAAGATAATTACTTTATTCTTGAATTTTACGTACTATTTGACATTTTCTTGGACTTCGTGGTGTAGGTACGTAATTATACCTACTAAGAGTATTTCATAATTTAAGAACTTAGTGTGAGCTTTAATAGCATAAAAAAGATGCAGTTATGAATAAAAGTATATGTACGTGATTATAAACAACTTAGCAAACTTCAACCCAATGCGTCGGTAAAGAGTATATAATAGTGTAAACATGATTTCGAGGTCTATCAGTAAGAAAAAGCAGCCATACTGTGCCAACAGGTACGAGTATGGTGAAACGTAAATAGGAGGTTGGAGGCATCCGGCTCATTGAATGCACTGACCCCATCTGATCGGGCTACGGGGCTGAACTTGCGCAGCTTACAGAACGCACCACCAAAACGAGCTTCGCTGCCATACTTATTATACATACATACCGTATCTTGTAAATCGATATCTAATAGGTTTACTTTCTAATAAATGCCGTTATTGCCTGTTTTTCATGATAAGAATATATGAAGTTGGTAGAATATAAAACTAAAGATGTCACAAACAAATTTACCATAATTATATGATCCTACAACTTAATCAGGTATTTTAAAGCTATTTCAGTTTTTGTTGGGTCAAAGATAAATATACGCTTAAAATAAATATATGGCAACTTTGTTAATCGTTATTTATTGGTGACATCCAACAAATAAAGAAACTCCGTAAAACATAGTGTCCTGTTTACAAACCAACGAGGTACTTACACTGTAGTAACATTCTTGTGAATCCATTGAAAAAACATACGAGTGCACGTAGAAATTAAAGGCATTTCTGATGTCTTGTGAAAACGAAATATTCTAGAATGTAAACAGGCCAGTCCCGTTCTATAAATAGGATTTTTTTTTTAGTAAACCTAAACTGTTTTGAGCATAGTTTTCACGTATAGCCAAGGGCTAGACTAAGCAGACTTTAGTTTAATGTAACAGCTTTTAACGAACCTTTTCTTATAAGTTTGAATAAAAGCACCAATTTTCTGTAAAAATAAAGAATAATAGGCCCCCATGAAATATTAAATAGGTAGGTTTAGCTATCGAGTTTCCGTCCTTTTTTTTTCTTTAAGTAGTGAACATAAGGATCTCAACTGTGTTTAAAAGAAGGGGTATCAAGAAGTTCACGTGTATTTAAGATGATATCACACGAGCTGTGACCACGTTTACAGCTAGTCGGGTGTAGGTCACCGCCGGCCGTAGGGCACCACACCGCACCAATGATCGGCACTCCTGTTATTTCACGCCATCGAGGACGAACCAAGCCCTTATATTAATACTTTGCTGTCTGAACTTTGCCAGCTGCGACCATGACAAATAACACTGTCTCGACGTCGTTTCGCTGCAATGTTTATTCTATAAAACTGTTATACGGCCTGCACGAGATCATTTATAAAGCTGTTACATTTGATCGTGCGGTTATTTAGACAATTTTTCCTACTTATTTTCTTCTTAAGATATATAGCTGGCAGTAAGATGATTATCATAAGTACATGAACTATGAGATATATAGATGGAGCTTACACAACGGCGTATACATATAAGAGAGGCAGGGCATTACGGATTTCCCACGCCAATGGTAGCTCTACTTCAGAAGGAATAACCTTCGTCTTACAGAAGATACACAGTACATAAAAAATGTACCGACGAACGAATCTAGATATTATTTATTGCGTTTATATTGCGTTGATCAATGGCATAGATAACTTATTTATCTCAAAACTCTTTACAATAGGCAGTAAAGCTTTAAGGCCGTATGTCTCTATCAATATTCGTCTTGTATGTATCGATATTGTTCTTGTATGTATGAAAAGTCTAAACAGAATGGTTCGTGTGACTCTATGGAAGTTTATGCTCACATATATTTCAGTATTTATGATAGAATCGCATTTAAAATTTATATCCTACAGTTAAAGAAATAAGTTATCTCTCAGGCGGTGTTATTCAAGCTAAGCTTGTGTATGCATTCTAGTCGTAAATAAATAAAATATAATCGTTTGTCGGTAAATTTAATAGTATAAATAAAACAAAACAAACATCACTAAACATAATTTATCTTCAAGTATGGAAATTAACTTTAAATATTAAATCTTACTGAAGAACTAAAATATTGAACATGGAAAGTAGTGCTGAAGTATTTAACTAACTAACGTAATCATTGATTAGGTTAACTATTACTGAGACATAAATTTGTATCATTTTAAAACGAGAGATTTCAGCTAATTTTTAAAATTATGGATTCATTCGGTTTATTTTTATCAATATCAATAGAATCAATGCACTTTATCATAAAAAACGCATCAATAGATAGCAAATATCATTACAATAATATAGTTATATTATGAAAGAGTTTATAATAATAAGTGTCGGCGTGATGTCGTCTAGCGATAACAATATATAATTTCTTATTTGGTGTCGGGCGTAGCCAACATTTTTACAATAAAATCGGAATAAGTAGTACCGTTGACCACGAAGTGGACAACCAAGGAGATAGACCGTTACTAACATTGTACGTGAAACGTGAGCGAAACTTAATCGGCACTGCCATCTTTGCGCATGTTGTTTCCAATACTTACCTAGAAAACCATTGAAAATCAATGCACGTCTTCCGCGTTAAAGATTCCTGTATATTCGTTCCCTTTTTTTAACGAAAAGGTAAACAGTAGCCAGTCAGCATAAAATTACAGACAATTCGTGTTCAATGAATGTTATATCACGAACACGCGGTGTAAGTAAATGAATATCCGATTCGCTTTTTCTCACGGCTGAACCAACAAAGAATTTTCAGAAAATTGTACAAGTCTGTTATTTGTTGCATAATGATACACTTAATATGTGCTTCTGTGAACTACGGGTCATATATTACAGTGCACTTGCAAGTTAATTATAATTTGTGGTAATTATTCAGTTAATGCCCTCAGATAGCAATCATAATTGTTTCACTTTTTATTATCTCATATTCACATGATGTGTAAGCCTTACGAGTTTATAATTTGAGAAATAGAATACAAAAGACAGGTAGAATCTCACCATTTCCCTATTAGTAGATAAGACCGATGTTGATAAAAACGTTGTTTACGAATAATCACAGGAAACATACAGAAAGTTAGAAGTCACATACGATTAAGATTACTTGCAAAGATATAAAATTGTAAATGTGATTTTATACGGGGCATAGTTAGTTGCGGTTTTGTTCTTGCAAATTTACTATCATAACAAAACAAATATCACATCAAAAATATACATAAACGACGCCTCATTTACCATAAGCAATTGATCGAATTAGATACACATTTTAATAAAATACATTGAATGCAGTGTGAATGATGATTCATGAAATTTATTTATGAAGTTAGTATTCTCACTTGATTCCCACGCTGTGTAGAACAAATTCACCTACTTATTTATTTTTCCTTTTGTTACAGATAAAAAATGTCGCAACGGCTACTAGCTGACACAACAATGCGAATCATAATCGGCTTGATACTAGTGGCGTACGCCGCCGAAGGCGCCAAAAAGTTTGAAGGTACGCTGAGATCAGCGGCCGAAGCGCCTCCTCAAGATAATCTAGCAGTAGAATCTGGTTCACCAGAACCGGCCGTTGTATCGGCCCCTCAAGAATACAAAAATCCAGGCGCGCCACCACCTCCGAAAACCGCACCTGAAAATGACGAGGACCCACCAGCAGTACCAGAAACAGCTTCCGGAGGCGTTCCACCTTCAGCACCCAGTGGAATATCAGCCCCGTCTGCACCAGCAAATTCCCTGGAAGAATGTGATCCCGAGATGATCGGATTCGAACTAGTAACTGGGTAAGATGATTTTTTTCTTATAGACAGTGAGTCTTTTCAAGATTAATACTAGTCGAGGAGTAAATGACCGATAATTGCGAACGTAATTAAGATTGCAAGGCCAGTCCGAGTGGAAAAGAAGCTAATTTATCAAGATCTCACTTCTATCACGTTATCTGTCAAGAATGAGTGTTTACTTTGAATGTAGAGATGGAGCTCGAAGTAAAAATTAGTTTATTTTTGCCATTGAAATTTATTGAAATTGTCGGTATAGCAAATAATAATGCTAAAGAGACCGACCGTGAAGGTTGAAGTCTAGCTTAATGTTCCACCGTATACATGTGTTACGACAGGTACGTGTTCTCGGCGCCGTCTCACATTCTCGACGACATCCCCGGCACTCTGATGTTGACCGACTGCCTGGAGCAATGCCAGGCCAACGACACCTGTCGCGCCGTCAACTACGAGACAGGTCTCTGTGTGCTCTTCAGCTCCGACGCCGACCAGTTGCCGGGTGAGTCATGCCATATTATTTTCGCTATTTGTTTATTTACAAAATCAAATGTGTTTGTATGCATTTTTAACAGCAAATAATTTTGATAAAATTATGAAAGCATTTTGTTTTCTAAACATGTATTCGTTTACAGTTTAAGTCATTTTAATGAAATTAATAAGACTAAAAATAATTACACAGTAAAAAAGCTATTAATTTTTAGCTAAGAGAAAACTTATTGCATTATAGTAGTACCTAAAAAAAATTGGTAAAAGCAATTATAATGAATAAATACGCTCCTCCTAAGCTCAAACGTTCAAACAGACCGCAAAATGCTGAAATAACGTTTTTGTATTTTCAACATGACATTGTTTCCACTGAGTTATTGATTAATAATCATTAAGCTGTCACAATTTATCAGGTCGTGTCACAACGGACTCTTATTAGTGAAGATATACATATCGTGAATCACAATTGCTCGTACAAAAAAGTAAACGTAGTCGCACGAGTTATAGCGGAACATTTCATAAAGCTTATTCAAGTTCATGATTAATTTTATGAAAGCATGTCGATATTTATATAAAAAAACGTGTAAACAAAAAAGTTCCTGGTAAAAAAAAATCCTCGTAATAAAAAAAGGGATACTGGTATAATAACGACACCGTTGTTGTGCCAAAACATGCACGAAGATTAATTTATTAAGCATGTGAATAAACAAACAATAACGGCATAATCATGTGCAGCGTATGCCATAACCGGGACATAGCAGGTGGCACAGCAAATATACTCTCGTTTGTTCGATATAAACGTGTGAGCTCATAAACAAGCGAAGCGTTCCGATTTTTTGCTCCGAGTCGCATCATTTGAATGCCAATAACGGCATGTTGCTTGCTCATCAGGCCTTATTAGTGAAAAAAAATACTCTCACCGCGAAAAGGAAAACTTGACCGTCTATTAACACCAGTAAGTGGAACACGCCTTGACCTCTAAAGCAAACAATGGTCGAATTATGAGGAATGATCATGCATTAATAAATGGCCCGACTTTTTACGTTCACGCTATTTATGGAATTGGTTTTATTACGATAATATTAGTGAGTTTAATACTATATCAGAAGTCGAATTGTTTTTTTTATTTATCATTTCGACGAAGTATAAAACCACCATTAGGTTTGTAATAAAACTTCAAAGCACTAATTAATTACAGGACGTTGTTAAAAGCTTATTTAAACGCAAGCAAAATCAGCGCTGTCAAAGCGTAATTTGTGTACCACGCCGAGTCAGTGATTATTTAAACAGGAATCCCGGTGATTTGATACTAAAATTAATAAACGAAAAACTTGTTCTAGAACATAAAACGACTTAGCGCGTTAGATGATCGTCCTTCCCCTTTAAATTCAATAGTTTTAATGTTTCGTGTGCAGTGGATGATTGAGATGTTCTCTTGAAACAGAAAAGAAATAGTTTCAGTCAAAAAATAATAATAGGGAAGCAACACAATAGAACTGTTAGAAGCCACAACATCCTGGAATGCTTCATTTCATAGTCAAACCGCAATGGGAGTCGTAGTATCGAAACAGTACAAAAGACTCCAACAATAGTAAAGGTTTAAGATGTTCGTTTTTTAAAATAAAAGCGTGAGAAAAATTGGAATATATTTTTTAAAATATTTTTGATCAATGTCAAAGCAAAAAGTTTGAAGAATGTTAAATTTATTATACCTTATTTCCTGAACTTCCAGTCACACTAAAGTATAAAAAGTATTATTCATAAAATTACAAATTAAACACATTTAAATAGTAGTAACTCATACTACACGCATTTAATAAAAGTTTGCATTGCACAATTCGAGACGTTTCGGATCCTTATCAGGCTTCGTGCTATCGAGACTTGCCGAAAAAAGGGAGAATTGTGCGGAAAACTAAGAAACAAGCATTAAAATAATTATTTTATTCAAATCGGAGCCGGTAAAAGGTTTTATTTAGTGTGAAGAAAAATAAGCCGGTGGGATCCAATTACATCACCATACACCGCCCGTGTCTAGACATGGGCTGAATTCGTTAAGGTTGAACGCCTCTTTACTGAGAACACTTACATCGGAGCATGAAGAATTTAATGATGATATGCGTGTTTAATAGAAAACGGCCTTACTCTCGCATTTGGATAATAATTCTAGCACTATTATTGTAATCGTTAGGCTATTCATCACTTTTGTGTAGAACTTGGTAGATTCTTGATTGAGTTATTCCCATGAACTTGTAATTATATGACTGCTCACATTCTAGATATTGAATCCTTATAGATATTGTAACACAAATAGAAGCTTCAGTTAACACTAAATGGATCTATTTAGTGTTAAATGAACTTAATTAAAAATAAGCCAAGCTATAATTTTCTTTGTTAATTACAGGTGCTCTAACCAAGTCTCAGTTTCCTGTCTTCACGATATACGCGCAGAAGTCATGCCTTGGCGTGCGCCCTTGCGAGCGAGCGTGGTGCTTCGATCGAGTCAGGGGTTACAATCTTAAAGGACGCGGCAAAAGGACCCACACCGTCAGTTCTCGGCAGATGTGCCTCGACCTTTGCCTTGGAGAAAACGAATTCGTTTGCAGGTACTGCCTTGATTTATCTATATATTTTTACCTCTCAAATCTTTCAAATACTGCGAATAACAAAGAATGGATTCCTTATTATGTCAAGACTTACGACATAGCAAAACAAAATCTTGGGAAAAGCGAGACCATAACAGGCGGAAGAGGCTAGAATTTATTGAAATTGCCCTATGTAGTTGACATGTTTTAGAAAATGTTATCACGTTGTTTATTTATGTTTATACAGTTCATAAAACGTAGATATAATACTGTTGAGTAATTCAGTAAAAAACTAAATTAAAAATTCTATTTCGAAGTTTTCATGAAAATGTTTTTCTGTACACTAAGGCGTCTCAGTAGTATGTGACGTCACACGAATGTCATTGAAACGTCAATCGTACATTGAAACGTCAATGTAGTCACTTTGGCCGGAAGATTACTAGTGTGAGACGTCAATTAATCCCGGCTTATCACAGGTGTGTTCGGTCACGTGACCATGGAGCAAAAAAATCATTTCTTTTTAATGACTCATAGAAAAGTTGTAAATGATTTGATCTTTCAGACTAGTAAAATCCCTGCTAATATTCATATTTAATACAGGTGCCAACAATTGGTACATTATTTTTCAAACTGTCAAATTGCCTATTCGTTCTACAAAGTTGAAAGTCATTGTCATCAAGCTTCTCTTCCTACTAAATATTATTTAGACTTTGATTAGCAAACCTCTCGATTAGTTAACAGAAAATACACAGATAAAGTATTTAATAACTGATACAAAAAGCCTTAAAACTTAACGGACTTGAAGTACTTAAATGTTCAAGATAAGACATTGAAATAACAAATATACATAAATTCCTTAGGGAAATCATGATTTATTAACTGTAAACTGTAATTCAACGTAGCGTAGGCTGTTTAATCCGAATATAGCCGGTAAATCTACTTCATTACTTCATCCTCGCACCTAATTGCCGTCCGCATTTTACATTAATTTAAACTTCCGTGCCTCTCGATGAAAAAAAGCAAAACCATCTTGATCAAGCTACATAAGTATGTCATCTAATCATAATAAATGCTAACTAATATGCCTAGTAGCAATATTGGCTATCAAGTTGATAGCTAATTTACTACCGGTTAAATTGCTAAGTTCGCTAGCACGATATATTAAAACATTACAAAGAAATGTACGAAGTAGAGCTTTCTATGGGCGGAGTGAGACATGAATGACCTGCGAGCCCCGACACGACCCGTGTATGGGGAAAACAGTCCGTTAAAACATTAGCTATTAGTGCAAATAAGTATCACTGTGAATATTAATGAGTTTCTTCATTGCAACAACGCAACATATGATTGCAATAATGTCTAAACGTTATATCAAAATATGTGAGAGATGTTTAGAATTTATCTTAAGCTTTAGACACACAATTTAATGCCTTACTTACTTTGCGCACTACATTATAAAGTAAGCTTTATAAACAATTCTGGATATACGACTCCAATGTTTAATGGTCATTTAGTAAAACAACTACTAAACTAAATATACATGTAACGAATAGATATCCATGGTCAATTAACGATTCAAACTATCATTGCGAGATGTTGGGTAGTTTAATGTACAAATCCTAATTAAAACTGATTCTGATACACGTTAATTTGCAATCTAATTCACGAACAAAGCTTCAGTAAAATTCCTATCTTTGAGCATAAAAGTAGAAGAACCACTTAAAACAGAATGTTAAGAGAAGTAATTTTGTTTGTTTAATTATTGGATTAAAAGCTGTACAGTTATCAATTTGATCATTTGTTGTTTGTTTGTTGCCAGTAATATGGTATGTGAAATTTTGAATCCACACGCTTATATGAGGGCAGGCGTGCAATGTTTTTTCCGAGGCATGCTATGTTTTTTCCATACAAACGTTCTGGACTGTTTCCTCCTTGATTTTTACCACTAATGAAATGATTTTCGTACATATAATTTTACTCAGTCTTTGCTTCTATGTCTTCTTTTTTTCGATAACTTGTGTTTCAAAGAAACTAGAAGCCATCGAAAAAGTCCATAAATAAACAAATTTTTATCAACACTAAAGACGTCTAGTGTATAACCACTTATTATTCTTTGTGCAAATTTTCTTTTACATTTATCTAATTTTCGAGGTGGAAATCGTCGAGAGCCAAACCTCGAATTTTGCAATTTTTATACGTAATTTTGAGCGTAAACTACTGTTTTCCTTATTACACGCTATTTGCCAATGCGTGACAGCAATAGTTTTTTCAATTACCTATTTCTCTTAATAAGATAACGTTTTGTAACAAAGTGCTTTTTGTAAAAATACCGAATATTCATTGTAAAAAGGACAGCAATCGTCATCATCAATCATTTGACGTTTACATTCATAAAATATGAAAAGAAAATGAGATGGATTAAATAAGGAACAACGCGTCCTATCATAAGCAGTAAAGTTATTTTTTGTTTAAGACAGCTAACAGAAAAGTTAAAATTACTTAGCAAACGTAGTTGATTATATAAGTTAATAAGAGAAGCAAAGTTTATTTCAGATTATGATAAATTGTCGGTAAGTATCATTTGGTTTATCTTTGCTTAGAAGAGAAGTGAATCTAATCCAATACAATAAGCTCTAATAATGCAGACATGGCAGGTCAAGACTGCGTACATTTGCGTTGTATTACATTCATGTTTTAGAAGGCAATTTGTGGTTATTTGTAATGTTCTAAGAAAGTTAACTGTGACCTGGAAAGGAAATTTACTGGTCCAAGTTTTCCTCAATTGATAGTTCTGCAGCAATATACTATTTATTCTGCTATTGATATGTAATAACGCCTTCATTTTATTATTAGAAGAGGAAATTCAAATTATTTCAACTTCACCGGATGGTCATAAAAGGTGTGTGACATTACATCTTAGCTATGGATAAGTCACGGCTTCTTCCTAGTAACTGTATCGTTTTTGAATTCAGCAAACGAGCATTATATACAAAGTAGGGAGGCCAATTGCGCTGCCTGCGCCGCTGGTGTCTAATGTAGCAAGACATGACTGTCCTATTGTGTTTATTTCCTTGTATGGTTTTTGATATCATTAACATAAATAGTGTACTGACTTTGACGCTCACATTCGATACACGTATTTCTGACGGTTCCTATGTTTAGTTGAGGTAATTTGCAATAACAAGTTATATTTTCCATAACAGTTATCTATAAAATATAGTCTATCTAGGATATAGTGTGCCCTAGATTTTTTTATCGTTTACATCAGCAATAGTTTCGAATTCAGATTTTCTTAAGTATATTTCTGATCTTATACAGATCAATCAGTGGCAGTATAGAAAATTTTACTGCCAGCCGATATTCATAGACTGGCGAGCGATAAATGAATGCAGACCACTTCCTTTTAACCTTCTCTCATCTCGGGATTCTACATCCGAAATTTTGCAATTTATGTCGGCATAGAATGTATGCCGCATACATTCTATGTCGCCACTTGGAGAATTCTGTTTTACCTTGCCACTTAACTATAGATAACATAAGCGTTTTCCTTTGCGCTATCTACAGCTTCTGAATAAATAGTCGTGCGAGGGTTTAGTATAGTATTCCATTAACGGATCTGTCATATAAATCTAAGCTTAGCTTTTCGTTTGAGACAGAGGGGGAATTCTTGACGCCTAAAATTATAGTGATTGTTGTCTATAAAACGCTCTTAAACTTAGTCAATTTGCCTTAACGTTAAATAAGTTGAATTTAAATCTATGTAGGTAACTCCTCGTACAGAAACTACGAAGGTTGCCTTCCCAAGATATCGTGTTATCTAACCTGTTCATGTAAGTGTAAATAGGCGTAGCGCGCCTGCGCGGCGGCCGCCCGATTAAAGTTAGGCTCTGCTTCAACACAAGAGCTAAGAATGAAATGCGCGATTTAACGTTGTTGGGAGTAGTTCGACACGTGTACCGTTGGGTACAAATCGTCGTATCTCCATTGAGAATAGCGGGCGACGGCAAACGAAGCGGGCGCACCCCGGGCGGCGCGCATCGCGATCGTAGACAGTCACGACATTTGGCAAATATTCAGCGGGACGTGGCGGGCGCGGTGTGGGAGCGGTTTGCCCTATCGCTTCCTACTTTCACGATACAATAACTGATAAAACACATATTGTTTGCTCCGAACCCTTCGGAAAATATTTTCCTCTTATTCCAACCCACCTCCAGCTGCACGACTGAACTATTCAACACCTGAAAAACACCATCACGAAATGCCGACACTAATACATTTAACATTTCCTTGTAACTGTTAGCAGATATTTTAAACATATTTTTGTTTAAACTACATTCAATACGACGTATTAAAATAAAATAAAAAACTCAATTACGATCGACATTTAAATATAAAGGAACGGGCAGACAATGTAAAATAGCTTATAGATGTAATTATTATGCAATGAAGTCGAAGCATCCACTGAGGCTAGTGAGCGCAACCTTAAATGAATAGAACGGCAAATGGTAGCGGAACAATCTCGAAATCAGAAACAAGAGGTACTTTAAATTAATATTTTCTTATACTATTCCTGAGCCGCTATTCAATAACACGCAGATCATATAAACTAATGGCAATAACGACGGAACTGTCATTTACTTTAGTCATTAATTTGTATAAAACACTATCCCCTTAGAAGTATCAATTTAACAATATATAATGGTAATCTCTTATCTAATAGACGAGTCCGTCCGTCCGTCCGTGGTGCTGTTTCAGCGGCCAAACCGTAAGAGATAGATAAAGAGAATGTTTAAGTTATAAGTTGAAAACAGTCTGATAAGACTACAAACCGGATGTGAGTAACGTAGCACTTCCGGTTTTCGAGAAATCACGTGATTTCTATTTCAAACGAAACCACACAAAATCTCCGAAGTTCTCAATTAATTAAATACTTTTTTTCTTTTTTTTTTTTGGTGAACATTTGGTTCACTGGTTTGCTAGTATTACCTATATTAATGAAAGAATATAACGAAGGTATCCATCGCAAGTAAATACCTTTTGCTTTGTTTTCATCCTATTAAAACACAAAAGAAACTTCAAGTTATCTTTGCAATACGTTCCCATATTAAAGGTCATCTGATCACAATCGGTTGTACATCAAGAGAAAATACTGGAAGCGATGCTTAAAGATAAAGTTACGTATGAAGAATACGAATAAATTTTAAACATTTATTTATATATTATTGTACCTTCTTCTTAACACGATTAAATTTATGTGTACATTTAGACAGTAGGTATGTATGTATTATTATTGAAAAAAAAAGGTATTATGTGTTTAGTAATTGGTAACTACTTTCTACATACAGGTTTATCGCATTAGCTGTATAATAATGCAGTCTTAAAATTAATTTATCTTAGTAAGGGGGTTAAGTGAGCCTCTTCTTTGGTAATAAATTCAAGAAATTATGAGGATTAGGCGTTTACGACTTATTTAAGTAACATAGTTAAAATTTTATGAACATTTGGTTGTTGTTCTTAATACCGCCATGAAAACCTTATGATATTAAACCAATCAGTGAACGTAAATGTGATTAAGGTGTAAAGCATGATATTATAACAAACCCTCTGGGAAAGTTCTCACGGTATAAAAAGAGAGCAAAGCAGCGCTTTAAATCGCGTGTAACCTTGTTGCAGATCAGCCAACTACAATAACAAGACCGGGGAGTGTGTACTGTCTAACATGGACCGTATCACTTTAGCTGGAACAAGCGCATTCCAACCAAATGAAGGTAACGTTTTGACACAGTACCTACTTAGGTATATGAATTATTTTATTTATTGAAACGTATAAAATAATTAATTGTCATTTTTTTACAGATACTGATTATTTAGAGAACAACTGCGTCGAAGAGCCTACAAAACTCTGTGAATTTAAAAAAATGGGTGGCCGTATTCTTAAGACAGTGGATTCTGTTTATCAAGATGTTCAGACTGTCGAAGAATGTCGTGAACTTTGCTTGAATTCACCTTTCCGTTGTCATTCATACGATCATGGTGATACTGGCGACCATGTTTGCCGGCTTTCGCATCATTCAAGAGCTACGCTTGCTGACATACAGGTAGAGTAAATTATTTGAGCATTGACACAAATGTATAATTCACAATAATTTTAAAACATTTAATGCTTCAAAGTATAACGTTTATTTAAGGACCCTTATCTGGAAGTACCCGAAGCGGCAACATATGAATTATCATCATGCTACAATGTTTCTATCGACTGTCGTGCTGGTGATATGGTCGCCCGCATTCAAACCTCGAAGCTGTTTGATGGAAAGATTTACGCAAAAGGCAGTCCTAACTCATGCGCTGTTGATGTCGAACAAAGTCTGGAATTTGAATTGCATATGGAATACACGAATATTGAATGTAATGTGAAGCAAAATGGCCTTGGAAGGTAAGGAAAATCTATTTACTAGTTTTCAATAAGACAAAATACAATATCAACAATAAAATAATTCATCTTCTTTATAGATACCTGAATGATGTAGTCATCCAACACCACGACACCATTGTAACATCATCAGATCTTGGCTTAGCCGTAGCCTGTCAGTATGATCTTACTAATAAAACAGTAGCTAACGAAGTCGATCTCGGAATTCACGGTGACATCAAGACTGGTCTCTCGGAGGAAGTGATCGTCGACTCGCCCAACGTAGCTATGAGAATCACTGACAGAAGTGGTGACGACACTATCGCATCTGCTGAAGTTGGAGATCCCTTGGTAAGTGTTTTAACTTTGAAAATTATAATACTACACTGTATGTTTATCATCTTGGTTCTTGACTAAAGATTTTTCAAATTTTGTTACAGGCCCTTCGCTTTGAAATTATGGACCCAAATTCACCTTTCGAGATATTTGTGCGCGAACTTGTCGCTATGGATGGAGTAGATTCGAGTGAAATTACTCTTATCGATAGCCGTGGTTGTCCTACAGACCATTTCATCATGGGACCAGTTTTCAAATCATCGCTGAGCGGAAAGGTAAAAAAAAAAACTTTTTAACATAAAAACTACAATGATAAAATATGTATATTATTCAATGCACTATATTGTTTTATTTAAAGAATATTGTGTACTTAGTGTTTGTTTTGTTTATTTGCAGATGTTGTTGTCTCACTTCGATGCTTTCAAGTTCCCGTCATCCGAGGTGGTTCAGTTCCGTGCTTTGGTTACCCCGTGCATGCCTACTTGTGAACCAGTTCAGTGTGATGGTGGCCCCAACGAACTCCGCACTGTATCTTCCTATGGACGCAGGAAGAGGCGTTCGACTCCGGCGGCACCCACCGAAAACATGCTTTTGGTGCAGACTATTCAAATCACCGATAAATTTGGATTTGATAAACAACGTGCCAAGAATACCACTGAAGACTCGGTGTATATCAGAGAAACTGAAGTGACTTGCGTGAATGCTGCGGGTGCTATGCTTGCAGCGGCTGCTTTCTTGGCGGCTCAATTAGTAGTGCTTGCAGCGTGGACCTGCAGCTGGCAACGAAGACGTGCGGCTGCGAAAGCGGCCGAATTACTTCCAGGACCCAACGCCCCTTCTTCCCTATGCAAAGTTTACGATGCCAGTTTCTCTCGTACGCACCAGAGGCATTTCTGAGTAAATGGAAACATGTCGACGTGATCAGCGTCCGCAATAATAGTTTATTTAATTAGCTTAAAAACCCCCGTCGTGTCCCGGCTCGTGAGGCCGACATTTTCGCCAGAGAGAGACGTCCACCTTTTACGAAGTGTAGGGGAACGATAGCGGTTATTAATGATATTGTCCGAAGTCTTCCGCGCTATACGCTACGTACGGGCGGGCACGGAAGAGCACGGCAAGGAGACGGGGACGACCAGAAGAGCGTGTGTGTTTGAAGATGGATGCAAGAAGCGGTTCGGTGCATAGAGAATCGCGTGATGGCTGTGTGAAGTGTGCGATAACGCTCGCTTGTCCCCATCTCTGGTGTCGTCGGCGGGACCATGGCCGTGTGTCGTTATCAAGATCATGTCGCTCATTCGTTCACTTTACGCTCGGAATTCCACACGGAAATCCGAATCCGTATTGTACCATATTTTTTAAACTAGAGTAAGCCTGATTTTAATGATAGTGATAAGTAAAAGTAATATTTCAGTACCTTTTAACTAGATAACCGAACGTGCGACCTAAGTCAAGAGACGATGGATTGACGGCCGTCCCGACATCGTAATTTATTTAAATTAGGCTAGTTTCTTTTGACGTAATTTATGTTCGATGATCGAATTATACCTATTTAATGAATTCTTAATATAAATAAATAGCTAAACAATTCATGTAGCTTACGACTTAAATGTGTACTGTCATCTACAATGTAAACTAAAAGTATTTTATTATGATGCTAGTGCCTTAAAATTATAATGTTTATATAGCAGAACGTTGTTATAAATATATATATTTCAACAAACCGTCCATTTGTCATGATCTAAAATAAATTTTCTAAAAATATTTATTGTTTTATTGCAATGATTACTAAAATACTCTTACTAGTATAAAGTAAACAAAGAATACATCAGCTAACATTGTTACGAGTAAAAAGGCAGATAGTGAAGGTCTATCAAAGGACATGGCTAGGCCCAGGCTTCACGCCTTGATGTGTGGCTAAAGGTATACATGTTTGTACTCATAATTGTTTCTTATGCTGGCGAACCTTTCATGCTCTGCCAGACTAACAAAATATATTTTGACGTGAATGTCTACGAGAAGAATAGTTATAGCTTGTCTGTATTTACCTCACAATTGCTATAAAATTACCCCATCCATCAACGACACTATAACTTAGGTCTACATGTAGCAATTTTTCAAAATCTTGATTTAACAAAAAAATAATTTATATCATACAAAATATAGTATTTTTCCAATCAAGATTTTACATTTTTATCTTTTATTTTATTTTAATAGGTTAATCTAGTTTTAGTTAATTCGAGCTTTAGCAAATTTGCTGCAAGCGGACCTTAAACGTAAAGATTAACAATCCTACGGTTAAGCAGACTGCTAACGGCAGAAAAAAACATAATCACATTATGTACTTACTTACTAATGGTGAGTTCAACAAACAAAAAACTGATCCAAGCTATGTCTATGTAATGATAATTCGTAGAATTGCCCACTTCATGAAATGCTGGAAAATTTCATGAAATAATTCACTGTTTTTGGTCACATCATGATTTGGCATGTGCATGCTCAACACGTTGTCGTGTAGAGCAGGGGTTTGTGTTTATCTTGGTACTAGTGGCCCGCCCTCGCTTCGCTTCGGAGTAGAGCTGTAGTGTAGACTATAGCTTTTGTTCAAAGGCTTGTATTATACACAAAGACTTTCTTCATAATAATTATAATCCTCACAGATGCAATAGCGATTACTAACTCTGACCTGGCTTTAATTTTTTCCTGGAGTAAGTCATTCGGCCTCACTGTGAACCCCACAAAGACGCAAATCATTATAATTGGCAGTTCCTACTTCATTTCAAGGATCGATTTTGTACAGTTACCTCCTAAAACCTTTGATGGGATTATTATTCCTCTATCAAGCACTGTTAAATACCTTGGGGTGGTTTTGCTCAGTGTTTCTCTTGGAGGCCTCAAGTGGAGGCTGCCGGGAAGAAAAATTTTGCTGCATACAGCTCACTCAACCGCTCACGCAAGCTTTTGCCCACCAAAATCACTCTGCCGCAGACTGTTTTACTGTCTATCCTCGACTATGCTGATGCCTGTTACACCGACCTTTCCGAGGAACTCCTAAATAAACTGGAATGTCTGCAGAATTGATGTGTTAGATTTATTTCTAACCTCCGTAAGTACGACCATGTTTCAGATTTAGAATTCAAAGAAAAACCTTCAAAAGGCTCGCACTCTGAACTCGTTTAGAGATCAAGTTCGCAATTATTCCTGTCCCAACCTTATATTTTAAATTTTTCTTTCACTCTTAAGTTTCATTCCCTGATATATCTATTTCCCTTATTATTATTTACTGTTATTGTCACACCCCTCCTCTATGTACTTCTTATTTATTTAGTTCTTTATTATGGGTTGCCTGAAAGAGATTGCTGCCTAGCAAGAAGGCCGCCTATATTGTGTGCGTTGTGTCTGTCATGTTTTGTTTTATTTGTATCCTGTATGGTGTACTACAATAAATATTATTATTATAAACCTTCCATTCCAAGTAAAAAAATTGTTGCGTAGTTTAGGACCCGTTTACAGAATACACCATTGCTCTGCTGTTCCGATTTGAAAACTTTTTTTTTGTATTGGATAGTGCATTTATCGAGGAAGGCTATATAGACCAAGAGCTACTGAACCCTCCAAGTAACGGTCTGTCTGTAAGGCTAGAAATTCTTATGGTGATGAGACAGCATGCTTAGTATGGTAAGCATCGCCTGGCACTCCTCAGCCCTGCACATCATCAAGCCGTATATTTTTGAAAGTGTCAAAAAACATTTAAAAAACCTGTTGCTGTAAGCTTGAAATTTTTATACAATTTAGTTTATTCATTTTTAAGTTTAAAAAACAAATTGCCAGGCGTTTACGATGAGCACAAGTACCTGCCAGGCGAACCGGAAGGTGTGTAATATATACATAAACATAAACTTTATTCTGTAAAGCTGAAATTTATATATGTGTTTAAGCGATTTAAAGTAAGTAGGTAGAATGCCAGGCGATTCTGGCTAGCACAAGTCCTTGCCAGGCGAGGAGAAAGATGCTGCGGCAGTGCGAGTAAGAGTCGTAGTATGAAAACTTACATAACTTAAAACTGCTCATTATTTGAAATTAATTACCGTTAATTAATATATATTAAGTAGTGTGCATGTTTCTGTGAAGTAACCGATTTCAAAAAATGCAACTCGTTACTTAGATGAAACCTAATAAAGAATATGTAAGTTAATAAAAATATACCCGCCAATGATGCTGGTACATTAAACTGGTACGTATAAAAATGTCAACCTTATAGCTACAAGTATTTTTAAATATTTTTTGACACTTAAAAATATACGGCTTGATGACGTGCAGTGCTGAGGAGTGCCAGGCGATGCTTACCGTACTAAGCATGCTTTGACTCATCACCATGAGAATTTCTAGCCTTACAGGCAGACCGTTACAGTATAGCCTATGAGCATCACGGATAATGAAGGATTCTAAATGTGAAAGAATTTTTCGATTCGGTCCAGTAGTTTCGGAGCCTATTCATTACAAACAAACAATCAAATATTTCCTCCTTATAATATTAGTATAGATGTATTGAAAAGATGGCCCACAAGTTGGCGCAAGATCCGTATGGTGTCGGTTTTTATCGATCAAAGGGTTGTGGCGGAGTAATTGGCTTAGTTAGGCTTGACTTTACTTAAGTTGGCGTTGGGCGCACGTTTAGTTTTTTAAGAGCTCCCAGAGTGATCGCGTGCACGCACCTGATTCAAAATTTATATTCACGCGTCAGAACTATAGTGTCTAGTAGTATATTAACTGAAATAGGGATATGCTGTGAATAAATAAACCGCATTAGCCGTTTAGTGTCGATATTATCCAATTATAAATTAATAAGAACGCCCGCACATTATCTTGAACCGAAGCAAACTGAACTATCTTCCATGCCATCAAACTCTTGGCTAATATCTTTGCCATAATATTTGCTACAATGTTGTCCAACATGTAGAGCAGGCATTGGGTAGATCAATGCCACATCATGATTTGGCTTGGGCAGATCATCTCATAACAAATCATTTCTCGATATGGGCAACTAAACGCGCGGCTACTTCATGAAATAGTCAAGATAATACTAAAATATTGATCTTAACGTAAATAAAATGGTTAACTGGCATGATTTTAGCGTTGAGTCTGCCTTTATCCATTTTTTTTATTGTGGCAATAAAGTTTAAATAAAGAAAATCTAATTTATAAAACAGTTACAATAACCAGTAGAGGCGCTGTATGTACTTTGTTAACAATTTCACATCATAAAACTATAAAATACACTAACTATAAACAAATAAGTCTCTATCTAATTACATAATTACTATATATAAGTAAAATATAAATACTAGAACAATAAAACTAAAACTAAAAACCTTTAAAAATAAAATTAATAACTAAAATATTTTAATAAAATTAATAATTAAAATATAATTAAAAGGAGTCCCTTTAGGTAAGGATCCGAAGATACTGGCAGCGTTACCCCTTTGAATGGCTAGACTAATGTACTTTGTTTATGTGTGAAGTCGGTCACTGATGACAATGCTGTGTTTCGCAGTCAAAAAGTAAATAATTTGTTGTTAAATGAGGAAGAAAAAGAGACAGAAATTATGAGTATCTTTTGGCAAGAATACAGCAGGAATAAAGTAAGTATCAATATCATAGTTTTTTTTCAACATGACACAAATCATAATAACTGCATTGGATTTGTTTTCGAAAAATAAAACTACTCTTAATTTTCCATTAAGTCGTAAGTGTCGACTAAGGCATTGACTGTGTTTGAAGAATATTGGGCAAAGACCTGAAACCCAATCTTACCCCCTTTTAAATATGCTAAAGTAAGTTATATTTCACTTACCTAACCTTCGACAATTTAGTGATGAACATGAGCAAGATGCAATGACTTAAATGTTCGTCGTTACGGTGGGCCAGATGTATTATTGCTTCGCGGCTTATTACTAAGATGCGATCGGTAAAACTCTGATCACATTCATTGAATATTGTTAGAAAACTTTTGAAGATAAAGAGATTATGGTGTTTCGGGGGCGGAAAGATTTTACTGAATATCTAGGTTTCTGCAAAATAGTGACAGTTTTTCCAAGATCGACTACTGCCAATGAAATAAGGGCTTTTTACTGACTATAGAGGTTTCTGCAAAATAGTGACAGTTATTCCAAGATCGACTACTGCCAATGAAATAAGGGCTTTTTACTGACTATAGAGGTTTCCGCCAAATAGTGACAATTATTCCAATATCGACTACTGCCAATGAAATAAGGGCTTTTTACTGACTATAGAGGTTTCCGCAAAATAGTGACAGTTATTCCAAGATCGAATACTGCCACTGAAATAAGGGCTTGCCTCTATTAATCAAATATTTTTTATATTTTATATACATACAACCCTAAATTTTCACAATTCTACCGGCAACCCCTACTTTTATGGCGTAACGAAGTTCGCTGGGTCAGCTAGTTTACTTTTATAACACAGAGACTTTTAGGGATTTGACCATGGTACCAGGATGGACCAGTTCGTATTATCGGATTAATTAAGGCACGAAGTTGATGTGTACAAGGCCATACCAGCACTGATAGGGTAGCGAATCTTTACCGAGAGTACTATCAGTGGATATATCAGTTGCTTCGTCAGTTGGAGCGAGGGGAGCATCCCTTGGGGCGCCGTGGACAGCAGACCGGGGGGAGCACCAGTGAGAGATCATCACATGGAAAAGTAAGCGAAGGGGGAGCACCCCCTAAAGCATCCGAGTC